TGATCATGATTTAAATACAGTATTTATTTTTAATATTACCAATATGTCATCGAAAATAATACGTGTTGTATTATCATTAAAAGACAAATTAAAGTATTTCTTTCGATTATCCAGAATTTTCCTTATCCGCACTACCTTCATCCCCAATTCGTCCAGATAATCGAGGTCCTACTGTATATAAACTATATTATTTGTGTATGAAAAGTTAGGTACTCTTTTCATGTTCAGTTGGCACAAATGTAAATGTAATATATAATTCTGTTCTCAAATTTTTTTTAATTAAATAAAGTCGAGTAATTCAACATAATTCAAAATTTCTAAAAATACACAATTCTAAATGTGAATATTTTTCTAAACCAAATCAAAAGTAACATTTCTTTAATTTTTTTAATAAATAGTAACTTTATACATAGCATATTTTGTTTAATAAAGACAGAAGCTTTAAAAATAAGATTACAAATATTTTAGTTTTTTAATGCAAACACACTAAATTTACAGTATAATTTATTAGTAGATAAATAAATAATTTGAGAAGGTCTTTAATTTAAAATTTCGTCACAAGATGGCATACATATAGCCTGTCAGAAATTTTAAAATGTGTTAATTTTCATAGAAAAACACCGGATATAATTTTTCTACTGCAAGTTACGATTTATTTTAGTAATTATGTAATTACCTTTACTAAAGCGCAATTAACGCTTAATTATTTTTTATGGGATATTTTTTATTAATTTAATTTAATCGTTTTAAACTTCTAATGCACAAATTTCACTTTGGTAATGTTTTTTAACGTAGTTTCTGATGTCATAAACAATGTCTGATAATTATAGAAACGTTATTTTTTATTTTTGTATGAGAAAAATTGTTACCATACGTCTGTGCATTACATACGATACACTGCATTTTTATGACAACAAAATGCTTAGCATTGTTCATTTACCAATATATAATATATCATAAATTAGTATCTTTTATAAAATATTTACTTCATTTGAAAAGCATATCACGATGTATGGCGAAAAACTGCGTATACTATAAAAGCTATAATCAATCAATCAATTAAAGTTTTATTGCACTAAGAAAAAAAATCCTTGTTACAGGGAAGTTATTTTATACATTAAAAAGCCATTGTTTTACATCTTATGTTGTTTCTTTTTATAAACAAATAATTTTAGAGATAGAAAAAATGTACATAAAAAAGTTTTAGTTGCATATCATTAGCTAAATATTAATTCATAACATCATTATCAAATATATTAGTAATCTGGGTAGTAAGTTATGTAGTTTATACATACCATTTTTTAGTAAATCTCCAATTCTTAACATATAATTTAAATTGTGGTTCATGCCAAGTATTTCTGTTATTTGGTATTTCCGACGATATTTTTTAATAGCTGTGCAGTCTTTCAACAGATGAAGAATAAAAAAGTTTTCCGATTTACACCAATAACACTTTTGTTTAGAACAATTTATATATGTATTATTAACCAACAAAGAATGTTGGCTCAAGTGTATGTGTATATACCCAACTGCATGAGAACCCTCGGCAAATTCTTAGGCAGCGTTACAATCAGGCTACCACCATTTATCAAGCCGAATTAGCAGCAATTCTTCAGGCTGTTCAGTGGAGTTTGACACTCTCTGAATGGTTCAAGCTTATCTCAATTTTAAGTGATTCTAAAGCTGCACTGACCTCACTTACGAATACTAATCTTCGAAATAGTATGATTAGGAATATTCAAGAAAGTGTAAGCTTAAGCTCGAAATGTTTTAAATTCTTCTATGTCCCATACCATGAAGGTATGGTGGGCAATGAGATGGCAGATGCTGCGGCAAAGGATGCTTCTAAAAATGAAAACCTACCTCTGACTATACAGCCTTATTCTTGAAATATCCTGACGAGGAGAATTTATGACCATCTTATTTTAGAATGGAACCAGTCATGGACCTCTTCGACCTAAGGGAATGTCACCAAGATGTTCTACCCAAGAATTTATGATTTTCTCAGGAATCCAATTAACAAATTTTCGTATTCCCTTTCTCAACTACTAACTGGACATGAAAACTTCAACTGCTATCTAGCTGCACGTAATTTGGCCAGCAGTACCTTCTGCTCCTGCGCAACTGGTAAAGCTGAAACTGTACAGCACATATTATACGAATGCCATATCTACGAAATCGAACGCTTTAGGCTAATGTTGGAAGTTATGTCCTTGGGGTATGGTTGGCCTTGTCCAGCCCATATCCTAGTGTCCAAAGAACTGTATGCCTACTTTAATTTCTTCATTAAGGACATTTTTAAGAAAAAAAACAGTTATCTGTCTAACCAAATTCCAATATTAGCTAACCATGGTTGTTACTGTATGCGCGTTGTCACTTCTTGTATATCTCTTGGCATTCCAGGTATATATTCATTGTTCTAGTGTAATACTCACTCCAGAGTGGTGCACTCACAAAAAAAAAACCAACAACAAATATTTATTTAGATCAAGTTGTAATAATAATCGTTTAATTTTCATATTTATATCAGTTATAATAAATCTGGAATCAGAGGGAATTTTTAAAATTTGAGAATACCATGGGTGATATGCTGATTACAATATTGAGTTTTGATCCTGGGTTATTAATTGCGATGTGGCCGATTCCATCAGTAGTGTACAGGCCTCTAGCATTTATCTCAGAAGATGAGTTTAGACAAAAGTGTGAGATACGAGACAATGGAGTGCTTTCGATTTTGGTGTACACTTCGATGTTTTACGGAGGAAAGACAGACTAAATTAATAGTTAACAATTATATATCGTATCAATTGAAGATTAACGGATTTAATTGGAAGTCGCCTGCAAAAATTCCGAAGGAAGTGAACCTGTCACTGAGATCGCTTGCAAAACGAGTTGAAAACCCTACATAGTGTCAAAACTTACAAAATGACTGTGAAACTGGATTTACGTTGTGCTGCTAGAGTTACTTTTTTAGAAGTTGGGGTGGTGACCCACCCCCCTCATCCGGAGGGGGTCACCACCCCCGTACAAACAATAAATGTTTAATGGACCGCAACCCTTCGCGAGATATAAGCCCCTGAAGTTTCGCCTACGTCATATCCAGTCACGTGACATTGTGGTCAAAAGGCAGTCCTACTGCATGAAAAAATATTTTAACGCGCACTTGCGGACACCTTCCTTAGGTCTCTCTCTCCTCGCACTTCCCCGTCACCGTCTATGCCTTCCGTGTCAGCCCGCAGTCCACGTCACCCGTAGTCGCCATCTATTACCTGTAAATACAACTATATATTATTATTTATTAGTCTTACCTTGGCCGGGCCTCGAACCGAAATCTATGTTGACTGTAGTCCAAGCCTTTCTCCACTAGTCCAGCACGTCGTCTTACCAGAAACATTTCGGAACCCATATTTGAGAGGAACAAGCCCAACGACAGCACTACGCATGACAGCCAAATCATGTGGTCGTTCCTCAGCCATAGAGATGCAGCGCACTCCGAGGGCAAATGGGACGCAGGTCACGTGACTGTCTCCTCAGGCTCCGTGGGACAATGAGTGCCAGTTGCGGGTCATGTGACCGTTTCCTGCGGTTATATAAGCCTTACTCACCTTCATATCCTCGAACCCAGTATTTGTTAAGTATTGAAAACTGCAACATGCCTTATTCATGTAACATTTCGGCATCAGCCGTTATGGATCCCACCACAATATTCAATAATATAACATCTTACAGTCTTCTTCACCATCTCCCCACTGAAGAGGCCGCACAGAAACTTTGCCATCTCGTGGGGCTCATGCTACATCCCAACCTAACCGGTTTCTTCCGCCATGTTCTAAGTGCGGAGGTAAGCCTTTCCTCGATTCCTGCATTTACACAAGTGCTATCTGCAGCTATCTGGGTTAATGTTACCAATGGTTCGAAAATGGCATCACTTCAGTTAGATTCGTTTCATTTCCATTACATTAGCTACATTTTTATCTGTCTGGACCACAAACCGTCAGAACTACGCCCATTTTGAAACCATGGAAAACAGTAACCACTATCCTGTTTTGATATTTGACCCGTGAGTAAATAATAGTAGTAGTAATGGTAAGCATTAACTGCCAATATTCCAATTTACTAGTTTTTCGATATTTTTTTCGTAATTTTTAGGCACTATGCAGAAGGAACCAACTCCATCTGACAGGATCGGATTCGTCTACCACTGTAAAAAAGTACAGCAGAAAAAGATGAGGAGGCGCACCGGCGGCACCGTCTTTAGGGCCATGTGCAATGGTTCCCTGTCGAAAAAGTTCCCTGTGCACTGGCCATGTGCACTGGTCGAAAAAGATGTTGTGGGTGCAAACCCAAAACACCTTTTTCGAAAGGACACAGCTTTCAGCTCAAGAGGTATGACATTTGAAGTCGCTCGCGAAACGTGATCGCATAATCGGCAGTTTCTTTTTCTCTGGGTAACGTTACGCTATGCATTTCTGTAATTTGATCGTATGGCTTGAAATGATATGTGTTTTGTTGGTTTTTCTATTTTACAGATGCTGATGCTTGTCTATTTGTGGGTCAAGCAGGAGCCGGTCACCGTCGCCGCAGAGGAATGCGGCATGGCCCCCAAAACAGCAGTAGATTGGTACAATTACTGCCGTGAAGTTGTGGAAGTTTTCGTCTCTCACCAGCAAAATATCCAGCTCGGGGGTGAAGACATGCACGTTGAGGTGACCATCGACCCTCGTTTCTGACTTTGCCGAAATGTCTGTCTCTATATTCGTATGTTTTACTTTCAGATCGACGAGACCTTCACTCAGAGGTGAAAATACAACCGCAGCCATGAAATTAAAGGCACCCAAATCACCATCTTTGGTGCCTATTGTCAGGAAACAAAAGAGGTGATGTACTGGCATGTAAGTAGTAGCCAAGCATTATTATTTCCTTTTATTTTTTAGTTTATGTGGAAGATTTGTTATAATTTCTCATATTCTTTCAGGTGGACAACAAGAGCCGATGTGTTCTCTGGAACCACATGCTCAGATACATCGCCCACAGTTCCATCATTGTTTCCGACAGCGCAACCCAATATCACGGTTGTACGACGATGGGCTTCTCTGAACATAAGATCGTCAATCACAGCCAGCGGGGCCCCAGGAGGTAAAGAAGATAAAACTGTGCAATGTGTTATGCGAAAGAAATGAACAGGCGTTATTGAAAAGTGACATTTTTCTTTTATTTCCCGAGCAGATTTGTCAACACCGATAATCCCAAGGCCCACACTCAGAACATCAAGTGCAGAAATTGCCAGCTGAAGAAGTCCATCAAGTCGCTCCGCACTGACAGGAGCCTGCAGAGCTACAACTGTATGTACATGTACAGGACGTGGGTCCTGTCCCAGTTGCCAACAACATCAGCAAAATTCCAACAGTTTCTCGGGGACAATGCGGCCATCTACTCGGGCCCCGGTCGTCAGGGTCTCCAACTCCGGATGATCGGTGTGCCCACAAATCAACATCTGCCGCCGGATGAGCCCTATTTCGATGTTCCCGTGCACAAGGGCAACGTAGAAAAACAACAAGGGGATGACAACTGCCCAGTGAGTAGTGCAGCTTGTGTATAGTGCGCATGACCAAAGGATACCTATTTGCGGATGTGAAACCTGGATTATGTAATTTTTCAGACAACATCAGGTGCCAACAACACCTTTGTCATCGACCCCCAGGACCTAGCCAAAACGAGGACCAGAAGCCTCACCCCGTCCTCACCTACGCAACATCAGAAATAGGCTAGGCGTCGCCAAGAAGCGAAAGGTTGTGGCGGGAGACGCAGGAGGAAACGTTGTTAAAGGTGAATGTACAATCTGGTTTCAAAACAATTTTCTATTAGCCTAAGTAGTGACAGTAACCTCCGAAGAGGTAGGTCAGGTGTTTTGGACAAGCCGCGAAAGGGGCACATAGTACTAGCCGACCGCGATCGAAACAAAGTGTGTTGGTAAATGACTTAGGGCCCGCGCTCATCTTTGACTTAGGGCCCTAGGCCCCTAAGTCAAAGATGAGCGTGGGATCGTGCGAAAAGGACCTAACTCTGCAATAATTAGACTGTAATAACATTAGAATAGGTCGATAGGCTTAGCAATGCTTAGTACGATACAATAATTAGACTGTAGTAATAGAATAGGTCGATAGGCTTAGCAATGCTTAGTACGATAGCCGACCGGACGAGCAAAACCCACTGTGTCGGCGAATGAGAAGTCCTAGACCCTCCCGAAATCAAGGAGGAGCGCGGGGTCATGCGAAAAAGACCTAACTGCAATAATTAGACTGCAGTAACGTTAGAATAGGTCGATAGGCTTAGTAGAAAAAGCGACGAGACTCGTCGATCCCAATCACCGGAAATGATGTAGGCGATTCTTTACAGTGCTATATCTCGTAAAAAGTCACGCGCGTGGGTATGGTTTCTTTGACTCTTTCGTTCGCACTAAGGGCTCTTCAATTAGGAGGGGTCGCCAATCCGCTCATTTGCAGAATAAATTGTGACTAACATGCAGTCATATGACCCATAGAACAATTTTCGGAAGACTATATCTCACTAAGGGTCGCGGGTAGCAAGTGGTTCATTAGACATTTATTGTTCGTACTGGGGAGGGCTACCCTTTGGGGGGTGGCGACCCCCTCATTCAGAGGGTAAATCTTACCAGAAGTTGCCAACTAAATATTCAGCGACATAATAACATTGGGTAATATTGTGTCATTGTTCTCGTTCGCTAGTGAAATGGCTGTCATATGCTGTAGAGTAAATAAGGAAAAATATGGAAATTATCAATTTTATTGAAAAACTGTTGAGTTCCTATATTAAAAGAAAATTAATAATATGGATACGCCATAATGGCCACTGAAATGGCCTCGTAGGTTTTTATGAAAAAAGAAACAAGAATTTATAAACATTTTGTGAATGCAACTTTGCTCCACCATATCATTTTAATTCACAAGTGTGTGAGTTACAAAATATTAACTGTTAAAACTATTCATATTTAATATTTGTATCTTTAATATTTTGTATTAAAAAATACAAATTTTTCTTCCATGTTATAATTTCTGTTCTTTTTTTTATAAATTATTATAGTTGTAGTGAAACAAGAGATACTTCAAATATAATTATTTCTTATTGATAAACTACATTGTTATCAGTCATAAATAATGAAATGGTCTATTCGAGAATGAGGCCTGCGTCTTTAATATTAAATTAAACTTATCGACTGACACATTTAAATAACGACCTTCAATAAAACACAATCTTCTAACGACATCATTTCGCATTTCTTTTTTTTTTTTCAGACAATTTCGAACAAAGAAATAAACTTCCTTTGCTGCTAAACTAATTCATTAACGCCTGCCCCTAATTTCAAAGGTAAAAGAAGTGCCCGAGGTGGGTTTGAACGAGTTTAGACCATAAGTGGCAATTTAATGGTTTTATTGAATGGCGCGTCATTGAGGAAGAGCATTAATGCTTAACCGCAAGAACGACTTTCGAAATTGATTCCCATACTTTCTTAAATTGATAATATTTCATACATTGTTATAAATATTTTTTGTATATTTCGATGTTTTAACCTAATGTTCGAACCATTTTAAATCACTTTGTCTTTGCCAACCGTTAGGTCTTAGAATTGACATATTTTCGGAAGATCCATAAAATATATCAAGAATTCACTTCATAGTTGAAAAACTGCACTCGTACGTAAAAATCAATATTAAATCATATAATTCTTTGATCTGAGCAACACCTTATTATTAACACGTAATTAACTGTTTTGTCACTTCGAAAAACTGGGACCACAGTTCTACGAACTTTGATAGTTATGCTTTCGTAACATTGTAACGTTCTATATTCAGGGGAGAATGAGCTGAATGAAGGGAGACAACGTCTCTGTGTGACACATTGCCTCCTCTCATTCAGCTTTTCTTCGTGTTACATCGAATTGTATATTTCTGTGCGTCGTTAGATTCGTTTATTTGTTTCATTTTTTGACAACTTCATATTTACAAATTCTCTTAGTCCAGAGTTAGCGAACCTTTTAGTTCACGAACAGTATAGTAAGCATACTGTATGTTTAAAAATGTTTATGCATGCCAAAGTTTTAGATTAACAATATTCAAAGGAATGAAATGAATATTGTTATTCTAATCTTCTAGTGCTTTAATTATACCGTAATAAACGTAACAAAGCCAATTGAAAAAGGATAATCAAATGATAAACCGAAATCACGTGATAATTTACATGCCAGATGATTTCTCCCGATGTGACACAGGTTCTTCACGTGTTCTATTCGTACGGATAAGTTTTTTTTTTACGTTAATTGAATTTGAACCTATAAACAACACCTAAGACAATAATATATAATTGTGAAACCACCGGAAGGGAGGGGTAGGTCTCCCGATCCGGCAACAGGTTGTTAAACCCTTTCACTGTCAGGATNGTGTTCTATTCGTACGGATAAGTTTTTTTTTTACGTTAATTGAATTTGAACCTATAAACAACACCTAAGACAATAATATATAATTGTGAAACCACCGGAAGGGAGGGGTAGGTCTCCCGATCCGGCAACAGGTTGTTAAACCCTTTCACTGTCAGGATGAGTAGTTGAAGGATTCTTTTTCCCGTTGTAACAAGTCGAGTGGTGGAGGGAGGAGCGCGTCGGTGAGACGACAGGCGATATACGAGAAAACGAGGAGGCCAGATATAACATAAGAAAAATTAACAATTTATTAAACCAAGTAATACAACGTATAGTTTGCGTCCCTAAAACGCGGGGAGACCGAGAGAGAGCTTACAATAATTGGTTCCATACCTCTTGATCTGTTATCCACGCTACTCTTTGAATTAGGAAAATTTCTCTTCTAGGAAAGTTCACTGATGTAGGAAAGGTCACTGTTTAACTATTTGAATCCTGGATTTAGGGAAGTTCACTAGACAAAAAGGACACTATTTGAAATTGGTCTTCTTCCGGCACCTGCTCCGGTACGACTCCCCCGAGAAGGGGAAGGAAGGGGTTTTTATAAGTTCGGCGTGGGAGAATGGTCACGTGATTGATTGTTGTGAGGTAAAAGGTATGTAGATGGGTCATGCTAACTATCAACTTTGGCGTTGGAATGTGGGATTAGTTTCAAATTGAACGGATGTTTATGTCGAATGTAACGAAAAGTTTTTTTTTCCGTTAGGTTTCACTTTAGGTTAAAGAAAAATTTAATTAGATTTTAAGCAAATACAGGATAATAAATCAATAAATAGTCGATAAAAATTCCGAATCTCACATAATAAATATTTGAAGTCGTAACTTCTCTACTGCTAACAAAAAATTTTGTATTAAATATGTTGCATAGAGGAAAAAAATATTAATTTAAAAGCTTGTTTAATAATTTTTAATGATAAATTCTTTTCAAACAAAGTTATATCACATTATCAGTTATAAAAAATAAGTTATTATTTTTGTAGAAGACAGAAATGTTTAAATACTTTAATCAAGGTGTTCATATGTTATAATAAACTATGAGATAAACATAAAAGAGAAACAATTAATAAAAAGTTTTGAAATTTAAATACTTCATATTAAACATTCAATAATAATAATAAACTACTTTCAGCTAAATAATAATAGTAAATATACTTAATTAATAGAACTTTTAAATTGTGTTGAAACTTCAACACAATTTAATAAGATGCCAGGTATCTATATTTTAAACATGTTAAACATTATAGACTTAATAAGACAGTAGAAACAGTTAAAATTATTAAAAAAAAAAAAAAATTTTCACAACATCTCAATTAGAATATCATATTACTAAGCCTTATTGCCATATTTTACTCAATATGATATATTATAAGTAGGGTTTGGGTCCTGGGACGTCTCGTGTCTCGAAGTCCCGAGACTTTTTCTAAATTTAATTGTCTCGGGTCCCGGGACTTTTTGGTAAAGACTCGAGATACGCTTATCGAAATTGTATTGTAATAATTTTATTTTCAAAAGGTTAGCCAAGCGACTCTTCCTTTCTTCTCCCTCCTGTTTACAAATAAACAACGCAGGTGGGGATAATTTACAAGGCTGTGTGACTTTTAACCTTACTATGTTAAGAGAGAATCTTTACAAATGCGTTTGCCGCCATATTGTTATTTTGTGACGTTTATTTATGAGATCGTGATATTTGTGACTGTCTTTGTCAGCACTGTCTGCTCAGTCAGTCAGTCGTCAATTTCACTTTGAGGTGAAGTGCTGTGCACAGTTGTGTTACGACACTCTTGTGGAAACGACACCCATCTCATGTAAGTTAAAACAAACACTAGATTTTGTTTACTTCAGTTAGACGTTTACCTTGGATGAGATTTGTTATTTTATAAAAAAAAGTAATTGATATGATAGTGATACTCAGTAAACAAAGATATAGCATTAATTTTGGATTATTATTATTGTTTCAGATCGTCAACAAATTTAAATAGATACCAACCTATTCATTTAATATGCAACATATATCAAAAGTGTGGAAACATTATAAAAAAATAAACAAATCAACCGCACAGTGCTCATTATGTCCAAAACAAATTTCATGTAAAGGGTCGAATACTACAGGCCTTGACAGGCACCTGCAAAGAGTTCACAATATTTTTGTAAATCAGCTGGAAAAATCAAAATCAGTTATACAGACTGGGACATCTTGCGAACCAGAATTTAAAAAAATTAAAACTGAAAAGCAGTCTACAATAATAGGATATGTTGCAAAAAAGTCTTTGCCTGAAATAATTTCTCGCTTGGCGGCAGAGGATGGACTTAAAATAAGGGCAATCACAAAGAGTAAATTCATTCGTGAGAGTATTATCCAGAGAGGTTATAAAATGCCTAAGAACAAAACTGATGTCATGAAAATCATATTGAGTTATTATGAAGAAAGAAAAGAAGAAATGATTCAGACTTTAAAAGATTCTGTCACTTCTGGTACACGTTTCAGTCTTTCAGTTAATGAATGGACCAGCGTTCAAAACCGGAGATACTTTAATTTGTGTCTGCATGGTGTGAACGGAGAAGTTTTCAATTTAGGATTAGTGTATATACCCGGAAAGTGTGGTGCCGAAGAGACCAGACAAATAGTTGAAGATACATTGAAAAAATTTCACTTGGATTTTGAAAAACA